AGGAATGACAGATTTGTGTCCTTCCTTAGAAACTCTTCGGCTATGAGATGGCAGAGTTTAAAGTCACCATCAAATTTCTGTGGAATTCTGAGACGGGAGACTTCCAGAAGCTTGTGGGAGGCACAGCGGAGGAGGAGGAGGAGGAAGAGGAGGATGACAATGGTGATGACAGCAACGAGGACTAGCAGCAGTCTTTGCGCTTGGACACTAGACAGTTCTACTCTATTTTAGAGACAAAAGAGGATGTTTCCCTTCCCTGTTTGCACCCAGAGGACAAGGACGATCAGCTCAAATGTGTTCTTCATAAAAGATGACTTAATTATGCCTTTTTTTATATAAATCTACATACAAAACTTCAGATGGTTGTTGCTGCTGCCTGTTACTGTTTCTGGGACATGCTGAAATGCCCCCTCAAACATAAAAGCTAGGCAGAAAGCCTGTAAGCGTAATGCAGCTCAGATGTGGCACCCCTGACACTGGGGAAGATGCTGAGGGTTTGTTCTGTTTTTCTGATAAAAGTTTCAGAAGAAGCTATTACGCCTTAAGTCACAAAGCGCTGATAAGAGATGCCAGTCAGGTTACAGCTACAGTTAAGAGAGAGGGTCTGCGTTAGAAAAAGGTTTTATTCTTGTACATAATTATTTAAGATATATTAAAGCAGAACTGGGGCCTTCATCCAGTTATGTGTCCATTTACCCCAATCAATTGCATCTTTAAATCATAGTGTGTGCTGCGTAGAGCTGACGGTCCATGAGGGGAGAAAGAATAAGGCATGGGCCAACACGACAAGTGCTGACAGTGGTAGTGGATCCTACAAAGCTTCATTAATACAGGGAAAAATCTCAACCCATTTACACATTGATCAAAGGGGCAGGGTGGGTAAGTACCTCTCGCGAGCTTCGAGAGACTTGTGCTCCATTATCCACTCCCGCAACACCCGCTTTTTTGTCCCTACCCTAGTCTCTATCGGAAATAGTTGGGGCAGTCGTGCGCAGTCAGGTTCCAGGCGTTATCAAACGCCTCCACGACAGGCGGGAGCAGGGGACCCTCTTCGCTGTAGTCAAGGTTCTGCTCTAGCTGCTCCAAGTTGGACATCCCAATGATCACTGCATCTCCAAGAGAACCCTGGAAAGCAATAAGAGGAGTTGCTGATCCTGAAAGAAACCTACTTCACCTCCTAGGCCACTGCAGGCCAAACGTTAAATGTTTTCTTTCCAGTAAAGAACATCCAGTAACTTCTGGGCGTTTAGGCAACTGACACCATGAAGTTCTGTTCACAAGGCCAGAACATCTCAAAGTCGCTCCAACTCCTCAAAAGCTGCCAAATCCTACTTTACGAGGGGCTACGGGAACATTTGGAGGAGATTGGGAATATAATGATTAATTTCCTAGTCTGATGAAAAGCGAAGTCATCTCCTCACAGGGAAGCTGTCTGGGTGGAAGCCAAGAGGCCAGTAACTGGCACTTAAAATCTGTTTCTTCCAGTCCTGTGAACACAGGATACTGTGGGGAAATGCAGAGCTGACTCGCTCCGACAGCCTGGCAGGCAGGGTCTGTACAGCAATACGCACTTTGGAAGGCCACAATCGCACAGGATATGCAGATTAAGAGATAACTGTATGCAGACATTTCCCTGTGTGTGTGCCGCAACAGCTGCCCAGTTCTAGTGGTGCTGCGCAGGCTGCCAGCTACAGCCGTGTCAAGCTCTTACCTGCAGTTTGGAGTGATTGTACAACCAGCGCAAAGCAGCGGAGGTCAGGCTCGGTGCATTGGAACCGTAAGAGTCTTTCAGAGCTTTTTCTACTAGGGCAATTCCTTCAAAATTGTGCTTTTTCCAGTACCTGCAAGAAAATAAATCACTCTTACTGCCCTTGGGATCTCTAGTGAATTGTACACCTATATTCTAAGCAAGTACAAAAGGCTTTCAGGAAGCCTCATACAACTCTTTGTAGCCTCCGAGGACGTTTGCAATCCCCCACTGCAACCCAGGAGGAAGCTGAGCCTAAAAACCACTCTGCAAAGCTCAGTCACGAGCCATGGCCCCAACCACACGTGCAGGCGTAATCACTGCGCAAGCTTTAGTCAATTCTGCTTCCTCTCAGCTGATTATTAGTGTGGGTTTTTTATGTAGCCACTCCTGCCACATCTCCCTGCTGTTCTATCAGCTCAAAACATACCTGTCCCTATAGGCTTGAGCCCAGTCATTCCCGAAAAACCTTCCAGTGGGCTGGCGTGTGTCTTTGTCCTCATACTTGTACTTGCCAGTCAGCAGCCCTCCTGCAAAGGGTCAGCAGCATGTTTAGGGATGGGCTGGCTCTTCTACACCCCCCTTTTCACATGGTTTTGTCTCAAAGTCTCGCCCTTTCCCCCTCTGTACCTGCCAGTGGATTGTAGGCATAGAACCGCAGTCCATAGTATCTCAGGCAAGGGAACAGCTCAGCTTCCACCTGGCGAGTGGTCGCGTTGTACATACCCTGCACAAAGATGAGGGAGATAAAGAATTTCAAATGCTAGCTCACGACAGTGGTCATAAGCACGTGCAACAGCCTTTTCCCGACCCTTCCCTGACAATACTTTTATCCAGAAGAGTACCTTCAGGTCACACAAGGTTATTATCTGCTTAGGAATCGACTTTCTAAAGGATTGCAAGTAATGCAAAAATTTTTAAGTTCCACATGAAGGGACTCACTGACTCAAGCGAAAAATGCGTACTCAGCTTTTTCTGAGGTGATCTCACTCAGCTTTCTAATCACGCGTGTCCTGAGAGGACTTCCCAGAAAACTGCAGCAGCTGCCTCTTCTGTGTTTGTATCTGGCACACTGGGGGCTGGTCCAAGATCTGGGGCTCCCAGACCCTTCCCCGTGGTGACTGACCATTGCTGTAAGGACACAGAACCACCCGTGTGCTGTTCTGATCTGAACCTTTGTATTCTTTTGATTTGATTCATCTCAGCCTCCACAAAAGATTTGCTGAACCACAGCAAGCCCCCATCCCTCACCTGGTACACCGTTGGCATCACCCAGTTGTTGTATTTGCAGATGGTGCAGATTTCTGCGACCTCCCAAGCTGCGTAGTTTGATAGACCAAGTTCTTTAAACTTTCCCTGCAGAGGAATAAAAGGGTATTCAGTTCCAGTTCTTAAAAGCACATTTGTATCTAGCTGGAGCAAGATGGATATGGTGAAAAGGACAGATAGCAAATTTTATTCCAGAGTTCTTTCCTCATCCCTGTTCACCTCTTCTAGATGACTGTGAATTATAAGACCTGACAAAAATATTTCCCGCTTTCTGTTCATTTTGAATTCACACCTTCTAGTTTAAATGGCACTATTAGGTTAATGCAATTCAGGAATTCTTCACCCATTACCAGCACTAATCTTAAACTAGTCAGTTAACATGGCTGAAAGCAAAGTTCAGATGTTCTAATATTTCCAAGAGCTTTTGAGAACAAAGTACACCACGTGAACACGCAACGAAGCGTCAGTTGTTTGGCTTTTCCCTGGTCATCTGTGTCCCCTCTTCCTAGTGTTGCACAAACCCGGTGCTGCAGAAGGGCACAAAAAGCAGCCCTGGTTTGAAGAAGGTGGTGGGAGGGAGGGAATCAAGAGATGGTCCAGGCTTGGACTTCCCACTTTACTTCTTTGTGCAGCTCATTGCAGGCACGCAGGGTCTCCTCCACCGGGGTCCCATGGTCAGGAGCGTGGAGGTAGAAGAGCTCTACACTCGTCCTCTTCAGCCTCTCCAGGGACGTGTCCAGCTGCGATCGCACACTCTCGGGCTTCAGTGTTTTCCCATCCCAGGGGTTGGCCTTGGTGGCGACTTCCACTGGCAGGGAGAAAAAAGGACTAAGCAGGGAGATTTCCACCTTCAGGAAGGGAACGGGGATAAGGGCATAATGCAAGCATTGCTCAAGGTGTTTCAGGGAAGGCCCTTCTGCTCGGGAACCACGTCGGCACTAGCAGGGGAGTCCCTTCTCCTCAATGATGGTATCAGCCTGGCAGGGAAAACCCTTCTCCTCAGGGAACAGGCCCGGGAGAAAGCCCTTGTCCTCAGGGATGGTGTCAGCCTGACAGAGGAGACTCTTCTCCTCAGGGAACAGACCTGGGGGAATGCCCTTCTCCTCAGGGATAGCATTAGCCTGGGAGCAAAGACCTTTCTCCTCAGGGAAGGGGCCCAGGGAAGTCCCTTCTCCTCAGCAATGGCGTCAGCCTGGCAGGGAAGACCCTGCCAGGGAGGACCCAGGCCCGGGGGAAAGCCCTTCTCCTCAGGGATGGTGTCACCCTGGCAGAGGAGACTCCTCAGGAAACGTGCCTGGGGGAATACCCTTCTCCTCAGGGATGGCATTATCCTGGCAGGGAAGAACCTCAGAGAGTGGGCCCAGGGAAGTCCCTTGTCCTCAGGGATGGTGCCAGCCTGGCAGGAAGACCCTTCTCCTCAGGGACGACCCCTTTCCTCAGAGACCGCCCCCCCACCTCCGCCCCCGCCAGCAACCGGCCCCGGGCCGTACCGGGCTCCGCGCCGCCGGCCAGCAGCGTGCCCAGGATGCGCTCTGACTCTCCACCCGCATACATGTAAGCCGTA